CCATCCCAACACTTGGTGGCACACCAGTATCAGCCTTGGCAGGATAAATCTCCCCAGACTTATCCAATGACTATGAACATTTAAAACTAACACAAGCCTCAATAAGTGTCCAGTTTTAGGGTCTTACACAGAATTATACCAAACAACATGAATCACACATGCACTTTATTTATTTACACTAAATGTCAAAAGTACATCGAATCGGATTGAAGCTAAGGGCATACAAACTGTCTAACAATTACAATCAAAGGAGCTCCATTGAGTTGAGTATTAAGCACCAACTGAATGGACACTCTCAGAGTTGAGGGGCAGATATCATGTGGAGGGAACTTGGTGAACTCCTTGGCAGAGAAAAGAGCTTTGTGTATCACCAGCTGAGATAAGCATGGGTACTCCTAGATGGACCCATTTTCAGTAATTGAAATTAGTGGGCTTATCTTGAGACCATGAATCGTCCTTCTTACCTTTTCACCGGGCAGTGGATCTACAAAGATAAAAAAGCAATTAGAAAAACTTCAAAAGACTACTTAAAAAAGGGACTCTTAGAACAATCAGTTAAGGCCAAAATACACAAAACAATTGCTGGCAGACAAACCTTCTTTGCTAATAATAGGTACCGCCAATTTCCTTAGATTAAATGAATTAATGTGTTCATGACCCAAGATACTCTGCAACTGCACCTTTGGTTGATGAACCACAGTAATATCTATATGTTCATGACCCAAGTTACTCTGTAACTACACCTTTGGTTAATGAACCATAGTAATATCTATCAAAAAGAAAATGAACCACAAAAATCCAGATCATAACAAAATGGTCTAAACAGAACGGCAGCTCTTTCAGTCATCTAGATGGAAAGGATGACTTTTCTGGTTGCAAGCTAAGAATTAGGTATGATGCAAAATAGATACCAATATCAATTCTCATGCTACTAGACACATCTTAATATGGCTAGTTCATGGAATCAAAAGCACAATCATAATATGGATAGATGGAAAGGATGACTTTTCTGGCAGCTCTTTCAATCATCATAACACTTTTTTAATTAATATATATGTAACATCCTGTATATTGGTTGTCTATCAAAACACACACACACCAAATCAAGTATTTAGTCTATTTTAACAAATAAAGCCTCATATGTAGTAGTAGTAGTTTCCCTAGGACCAATAAAAAATATTTAGACCATGTAAGTGCATGTAAGAATCTTTTGCCATCAACCAAAGTAGAAAATATTCATTCTAGTTCCCAAGAAATATCCAAATGATGAAATGACTTGCATTCTAGAAGGTTTGGCTTTACGCATCTAATGTAGTGAGGTTCTATTGAATTTAGTGTATCCATCAATTGCTGTAGTTGCAGCTGCATCAATCAGATTATAAAAGATCAGATATTGGTTATTACCCTAAAAAGGGAATAAATGTGTCAAGTAGAATCTGCCAAACAGGTTATATGTTTTAATGTTTCTCGTGTAACAGCATTTACTATAAACGAATTCCATTTTATTGTCAACAAATCAATAGAAGAAGAGATACCTTAAAACGAGATCCAATGGAGGAGAATTTAGAAGTTTTGCTTGTGTCCTCAGGAAGATGAAGGAATAGGCCTGAAACAACCAACTAAGAAGTCATGTTTATTGAATTACCACATGCCAAGAACTTAGTATGGATTGGAGAAACTCTCAACTTGTAAAGGAAGGTTGTAGTAAAACGCACAAACTTAAGGTGAGGCCATTCCCACATTTTAATCTAAATCCAAGTCTAGGTAGACTCTACTCCCTTAATCACCACCCCTCAAATAGAGAGACAAGATTGAAAAGTCTAAAAGTGAAACCATCTTGGATTGCAATTGTTATTTTGAATTTTTTCTTTTTCTCCTTTAAGTTCCAAATCTTGGTTTTCAAGTGCAGACCAATGACCCGTGCAACAGGTTTTGAATTCTTGCAATAACAATTTATTCAAACTAAAAGGATGTTAACCTGAAATCATTATTAGAACCAAAGAGGAGCCTAAAAACACCTAAAAACATTCATACAGGGAAAGCATTAACATTCATCGCAGTAATCAGTCCAAATTAAAAAAAAGAAACTATTAGCTTTGTTCAAGATAAATATCTAGATTAGATAATAATAAAGATAATAGACAAAATGATAAAAAAAATAAAGATAATAGACAAGATAAATCTCTGATGCAGAAAGTCGTCTTTGGATAATCATTCATGAACTACACTGGTATGTATTTATAATAAGAGAGTTAGATTTACAACAAACTTCTATCAAAGATAGGAAACAATAGTTAGAGTTCAATACAAAGCAAAACCCTATATTCCATGCATCTAGCAACATTGATTTGGGATAACAAAGAAAATTAAAAAAAAAAATGAACTTAAAGAAATAATAAAAAGGTAATATAACATATATTATAGAGCATACAACTCAACAATGAAATTGCGCTTGTTAACAATTTCAAATAAGTCAAAACAAACTATACAAACAAACCCCCAACCCCTAGAACCGCAAAACACCTGCCAGAAAAATTAATTAAAAAATAAATAAGGATAAAATAAAAAAGAGAAGAAGAAACTACAACATTATCAACACGACTAATGAAATATAATCAACCGTATGAAACTTTTAATGGAAAATAAAAAATTAAATTGTTGCCAAAAATAATATCCATGTAATCTATTGTAAATGAGAGAGTGGTGTCACTTTGAAAAACATATGACTTAATTATCTGAGTTACAGATAAATGAAACCATCATGCAAGCATGTATCCCATAAACAAATTAAATAACAATTAGCAGTTATAAAATAAGTTATCAAAATATGACATATAGTTGAGATCATAAAAAAATTACACAAATCTTATTGCATCATTCTTTGATGTATAGTTCCTTCCAATTTCAAAAATGAGTATAGTTCAGACAAGACTGTGAAAGAAGGGGAAATCCATTATATGGATGGCAGAATCATGTAGGGTGGTTGGGCGAAATTTCAAAAATTTCTTTTCTCTCTTCCGGGAATTGTATTAATAGTTTTAGAAAAACCGCATTTTTCAAGTATCGTTCTTGAATCAAACCGGACTAGATCTGAAACCAAAAGAAAATGAGAGCAATACCTGATACGGAATCCACACGTGTAGCTCCCAAAGTAGGTGTTCACGCCCAAAGAGGGTACCAAAACTCACTTCCATTGAAGATGGTGTAGCTTGAGATGAAGCAAGTTCAGCAATGCAGTCATTCAGCAAGAACTGCAATCCAACAGCTTGGATCAAGCAAGGGAGATGAGCACGAATAAGATATGATATTTTCTTGCAAAAAATCAAAATCAGAACTGATCTCTATCAATTCAAGAATGGAGATCGAATTAGGGTTAGGGTGGTAAGAGCTAAAGGAGAGAGAAAACTGAAAGCAGTATCTAAAATTTGAGCAGTTCACCCTCCTCTATTTATATARATCTTAAAGAGTTGATCTCCCAATCCAATTAGGAGTTTCCTAATCCAAATCTTTATTTGGATCTAGACTCTTTAAGTGGATAAGACTTATCCTCTTATCCTTATCTACTGATCCAAACCCATATCAATACCCAAATTTGCCCATGTTGATTAATCCAATTAATCTTTGGGCTTTAGGCCCATTAAAAAGATAGCTCTCGTCCCTTTATTAATTGCAGGCTAACTTGGCTCTCTTTGTATGGCATGGGACCCTAACATTGACCTCACAAAATCCATATGGGTTCAACCTAACTTCTATGACAAAGCCTGACCGAATTCACTGCTAAACACAATGAACCCCTGAGTCCATCAGTATGGGCTCTTAATGGGCCCAATATTTACACTAAATGGTCCTTGAGTCTAGCCATCTTATGAAGGCCCAATGACTATTGTCTTAAGTGAGATTAGCCCATCAGGTATAATAGCCCTTAATGATCAAACACTGCTTGACAAGAGATGACCTCTCCCTCAGTTGCAAGGTACAGTTGATGGAGGGTGATTTGACCCGACCTCCTGACTAGGCGACACGTGGACATGAGACAATGTAAGTGACAGCTCAACATGATAGCCTGGCTACAACTCGGCGTAACGAGCTCGCTAAAACGCAGCCTAACAGCTCACTACAAGGCAGCTCACTACCAGGCAGCTCGCTATTGAGCAATCCGAGGGTTTCGGGAAGATTCTTATCTGACAAGACCGTGCCCGTCAGACTACTCCCATGTCCCTTGTCTGACGGTGCAGCACCTGCCAATCCAGAGGACTGCGCCCACGTCTCTCATCAGGCGGCATCGTGCCTGCCAGATCCGAAAAATGTCTCTCGATTGACAAAGCCGTACCCTGTAACGGTTACCTGCGCCCACCTGCTCAGCCCTGGAAAATAACGGCTACGGCAAATAATCAGAGGCGATTACACCCGATTTGACAGGGCATTAATATATAAGGGCTCCAACCCCCAAGGAAAAAGGTAATTAAAAAATTGCGCATCTCCACTCTTAGCCCTTATTTTCATTGCAACTCACTCAGTTCTCCACCGAGTTCTAACTTAAGCATCGGAGTGTTCCCGCCGGGCGAGCTCCCCGGGAATCCTTCACTTTCTTCTTTACAGGTACCTTGTCCGTCGCTAGATAGGAGCATAGCCCCTACCAGTTAGGAGTGACTAGATCGCGCACCATCATTTGGCGCCGTCTGTGGGAATCGCTTCGAAAAGCCTTCTTCCACCAAGTTTTGTAACCTCAGTATCCATGGCTTCCTCCAGCAACGTCGGACGCAACTCAGGTGCGAACACTTCCCCTGAACCTCAGCTCCCTACAGTGTGCATCAGACAGTTCAACCTTCCTCTCTTTGCAGATGGGGTCCCGACGCTGGATGTGCCTCAGATCACGGCACCGGGGAGCGCTCTGCTCCCCACCGCAGTAGGCACCACTTTCACTGAGCCTTCTCTTCCCCCACTAGTTGGACCAAACCAACTTGAAGATTTGATGCATTGCATGGGAGCCATACAAGCTCAAGTGCAGCAAGTCCAACAACTTTAGTTGTACCAGCAGCAAGCTCTACACCATGTATACCAATAGCAGTATCAGCAGCAGTTCCCCTTGTTTTCTTTGAACCAGCCGCCGATTCCACCATGGCACCTGACCCCGCAGCAGACTAAGCCTCGCTGTCGGAATGAATGCCCCTCTCGCCGGGGAGAGACCTCCCAGTCTCAGAATCCTCCCAGGAGCCAAGTCTCATCCAGCGGCAGGAGGGAGAATCCAGTCACACCCAGCTCTTCGCGCGCGATCAGGTCGGGGAACTCTCAACCTCTCAAACCCACATCACCTTAGCTCTCCGAGTTCGTGGCCCCGCTCCTTGAGAACCGATTCGAAGTCCTGGCCGCGAACTCCAAGCAAGGATCGATCCACAGTCATCGTCAGCTGTCCGAGCCACTCCCTGCAAGAACCGTTCTTGAAAACACAAAAGCGAGCAGCACCAATGCAGTGAAGGGATGGGATATCCATCACGTGGACACCCAAGTCTTGCGGAATGGATAGGGCGAATTTCAAAAAATTCTCCCATCTTTGTAGGGAATCGAATTCCCTATATTTGAAAAACATGTTTTTCAAGGATCAATCTTGAATCAAGAACCAAACCAGATCTGAACCAAAAGGAGTAGGAGGAAGGATGTACCTGATACAGAGAAGCAATATCTCCCAATGGAGGTGTTCACGCCCAAAGAATGATCCAAAATCTGCTCCCACTGAAGATGGCGCAGTGCAGGATGGAGCAGAA